CGTCGCAATGGGGAGGGAATTTTTGTATCCTTGTCGATGAAGATGCCTTCCAACTGTATCTTTTGATACTTTTATACCTTTTTCTGCTAACTTTTCTACCAAACCTTTCCTTATTATTTGAGGATTTCTTCGAATTTGTTGCCCAACAACATTTGCTATGGTACCGGTAATTTTTCTTGGCCGACCTGAGACTGGTTTTCGAGTGACATCACCCGTTTTTTCCAGTTTTTTGAGATTGTAATATATTGTGGAGAGTCCAATATTAGTGCGACGCTGAATTTCATTCGCATCACGTATCCCCTCACTTCAAAAATGTAAAATTACTTCTCGTTGTCGAATTTTTTTCATAACTTTTTTTTTTTGTGGCATTATTCTGGAAAGTCAAATAAAATAACGTTCGATAAGAAAAAAAAATTTTTTTCAGGGCGTACAAAGTTGTAATGCATGTGGCATAATTTGATTTGAAGTTTGTGTTCCGCCGCAGTTAATGATATTAAAATCACGTGATAAATTTCCAAAAACTTCTGTTCAATTAATGCAATTGAAAAAAAGAGAGATCTACGGCAAAACGTAAATTTCAAAAACGATGCAAAACTTAAGTGGGTTATTGAAACACCTTATGCTATACAAGATGAAGCTATGAATGACCTATTTAAGGGAAATTCTTCAAATTTTGCTTCGAATAAAAAAAAAAAATTTCAAAATGAAGTTCCGTTCTAAAAAAAAAAAAAATCCTCGAACTTCTAGCGCTTGGAGCAGATCTGGTGTTGAATATATTTTTTTTTTCATAAAATGAAGTCAGGAGAACCTCTCCCAAAAGAACTTGGATATGATAGTCGTCTTGTTATGAATCGCCTTGGGGAATTTTACCTAAACCACTGGAAATAAGGCAGCACACTCGCATGAAATTTTTAGGATATATCCTATTTGCTTTTGAGGATATATCCTTATTACTATTTATACACGCAGAATCGGAAAATTTGACGGACCCTAAATTAATAGGCGTCGATCTGCGTGGACAAAAGAAAATCATGCGAATGTAGTGAAATAAGGACTGAAAACCAAGGTCCCTTATTTTCAGAAACGCAGGAAAAGGTTTTCACTTATTTTTGTTTTATTGTTTATATCATCTATATAAGTGTTTTTTTTTCCAATGGAGATTAATAAACAAAAATTAAAAATTTTAATAAATTAATTTTTTTATTTAATAATTTAATAGGAGGAATTCTATTGAGTGGGGAAAAATGATATTGGTCGAATTTATCGACTATGTCATAAATATGATAAACTTCAAAGCAAGCACGATAGTATTCATGAGAAAAAAAATAAATGTAAACGTTATAGGGTAAGTTTAATTAATTGATTAATTAATTATAATTTAACATTTAATATATTATTTATAATTTAGCGTTTAATATATTATTTATAATTTAACATATTTATTATATTAATTACTTTAATTATGGATTACATCGTGTTATGTTACGGATTCATAAGAAGATTCGTTGTCTTGTCATCATAATCTAGCTAAATGGCTTTACTAAAATTATCATGTAATATTATTAAGAATTTCGCACTCAAAGAATGATTAGACGTGGAACTATGTGTACAAGGTCACATTTTTGCATCTGATAAATAAGGCACGTGAGCACCCAATCTTTGCACAGAAGAATACACAAGCAAAACTTGTGGATCCAAGGATTGACAGGGACAGGGTGCTCCGCTATATTCTTCTTCGATATCTTACTAAAAAAGAAGATTCAGCTTAGGCTATTCCCTACATGCCGCCCAAATTCAAAAAACAATAAAATTTTGCTAATCCTATTGTTGATATTTCCTTTTTGAATTTGGGCGGCATGTAATTCCCAATGGGACTTGTTTTCTAATATAGGCGATTTGAAGCTAACTATTACTTATAGAATTCACCTTTATCTTAATCAAAGAATCAAGATTTGATTTTATTCTTAAAACTTTTTTTTCCTCAAAGTTTTAAATATGTTTCAGCATTTTATTTTTTGCTTTAATCATTTTAATCACGTGTAACTGCATTACTTTAACTTCTTTTAATCTTCTCTATAGTGTATATTACTTTATTATTTTTATTCTATTACTTTTACTATTCTTACTTTTACTTGGTATTATTTTAATGGAATAAAGAGAAGTTGTTAAAAATAAATAAATAAAAAATTATCATTACTATTATTATTTTCATTCTATTACCTGGCATTATTTTAAGAGAAGTTAAAAATAAATCTAATAAGATTTGGTTAAGTCCATTTTTTATATTTCTAATAGAATTTCCGAATAAGGAATGAATCAAAAAGAAAGGAAAGAGATAACTCTCCCGCTCCTGCACCCGGTAAATATCTTTTCATTTGTTCGCCTTTTTCATACTTTTCATAATAAGCCACAATAAATGAAAAAAAGAGAGAGAGAAAAGAATATGCATAGTATTGTTATCATCACATCATTCAGAAAAAAAAAAAATGCGATAATTATAGTCCTGATAGTTCTGATACTTCATGTAATATTTTTTCATTTTATAGTCCTGGGACATTCAAAAATGGATTTTCAAAATGGCTTTGGATTTTATCCAAGCCTCGAATAATAATTTTTCAAGATGATCTCCGATCATTTTTGCCACCATCAACATAAACAACAAAAATTCATCCGGTTTGTTAATCTTTTTGGTAATATACTTTACACTCATGAATTACATTATCAAGAATCCAAGCCAAAGGATTAAATGAGGCTTCCGTAACTATAAGCCATTAAATTATGTCAAACATGAAAAATAGGCTCAGCTATTAAATATTTTTTTTGATAGAAATTTCTAGATATTTCCGGATATTTGTGGAGGCGGGTGTAGTCAAAAAAAAAAACAATAATTCAAGAATAATCAACATAATTTAGAATCTCTCATAACCGATGAAATTAATTTAGAATCTCTCACAACCGATGAAATGATCGAAACAATAACAAACAAAATTACAAAAATTAAAATTATGATGTAAATAGAACTTTATTTATTTATTACTAAACAAATATGATGTACCCAAATTTGAAAAATAAAAATAAAAAAAAATATATATATATATAAAGTCGAATCTGACAAAATTTAATAAAGAATTTAAAGAGAATTTAAAAAATTTATCTAGTATAATAATAATTAATTGCAACTAATTTTTGAGAATTTTTATTATTAATCTTTCAAATATATTATGATTAAACTAAAATATATTATGTATACTTGTATAATATGAGAATATGTATTATTATTATTAATGATATTTTTATAATAAAAACGACATTTAAAGTAATAAAATAATTGTAGGTTTAAGAGAGTTTATAACTTTTTTTTTTAAAAAAAAATCTAATAAAGTAAAACAGCAACGATGAAAGCGACAAATGAGCCGAATAAGACCTCGAAACCACTCATACGAGAGAATGCTGATGATGCTGATGGTGATGGTGCAGAAGATGGTCCTGAACCACCTGATGGTGATGGTCCTGAACCACCTGAACCTGATGCTGGTGGTGCTCCTCCTGAAGATTTGGGAGGTCCTCCAGATCCAGATGGTGCTCCTCCTGATGGTGGTTTTCTATAAATAATAAATTCAAATGATTTAAATAAATAAATAAATAAATTAATTAATAATATTTTATATTTTTTTCTCAAATAAATAAAACTTACGCAGATCCTGATGGGGATGGGCCACCAGAACTAGCTGTTGTTACTGGTGGTGCTCCTGATGGACCACCAGAAGGTGGTGAACCAGAAGGTGTTGGACCAGAAGATGAACCGGCAGGTTCATCAGTAGATTCAGAAGGATCTTCAGGTTCACCAGTAGTTTCAGTAGATTCCTCAGTACTAGTAGGTGGTGGACCACCAGGTGATGGTGGACTTCCAGAAGGTGGTTCAGGTGAATCACTACTAGGTTCATTTCTATAAAAAATATATTCAATCGTTAAAATTTATTACTTAAATTATTAAATTATATAAAGTTAAATTTGAAAAAAAAACTTACTGGGCAACAACGAACATCACAATGAGACAGAGGGTAACAAGAAAGAAGAATGTCTTTGCGGTGAACTTCATTTTTATTTTTATTTTTTTTTATTCAAAGCTATAATACTATTTTAATATATATGTATATATATTATATTTTCAAAATAATAATAATTATTATTTTTTCTAAATTCGAGATAATTAAATAATTTTTGATAGAGACCTTTAATCAAGAGGAAAAGGGTTAAAAAAAAAGAGGAGGGAATGGAAAATGGAGGCCAGTATTTATTAGAAAAGTAAACATAGGCGGATGAATTAATGGGAATCGGTTCGTGAATAATTCTTGTTACTCGGTCTTTTGACGCCACAATAATAATAAAATTACTTTAATGATAATGATCAATAATAATAATATTATTATTATTATTTATTATTGATAATACATATTTACATAAAGTGCATAATTATTTTATTTATTTATATTACTATTAAAAATAGGAAAAAGCCCCTCAAAGTTTTTCTATTTATAATGATGAACTCTATTTTACTTACAAAAGAAATTGAATTTAAATGAAATAAAAAAATAATAATTAAAATAAAGAAAACCATTTTAATCGTATAAGGTTATTCAAAAAAAAAAAAAAATATCCGTACAATATAAAAACAAAGAATTAATTTTAACGAAAAGGGGAGAACTTATTTCTTATATGGCAATAATAAAAATTGTACTTGCATATACATCACTTTCTCATAGAAAATTTACAAATAAACTCAATAAAGAATCATCGAATTTATTACATGCATACTTCTTCTTCAATCAATCATTGTGGTCTTAAATTATCTTTAATCAATCACTCACTGATTTCATAATATCCAAATGAAGTTATTGCACCATGAAAAATATATTATTATAAACAATGCACCGTGAAAAATTGAAGAATAAATATGAAAATTGTGTACATTTAATTCATTAGGAATTATGTTGTGTTGTATAAAATTCTAAATATTTTTAATTACTTGACATTATTTTGCATCGTTTTTTGCAAATAATTAAAAAATATTTATATTTGTACTATTTACGGAACGAAGGGAGGTGGAGGGATGGAATGAAGGAAACGATATTATTTATTAAATACTGCTTATCATAATTTAGTTAACAATTTCATTAAATAATTGGTTAAAAAATTTTTTTTTGCTTAACTCCCAAAGAAAAATTTAATCACAAAAAATAAAAAAGTAACGGTTGAACCAAATTTTTAATGAGCGTAAACAATAATGATGAAAGTTTGTACGAGAGTACTCAGAACCTCTCTTCTTTGTTCTAATCTTTACTATCTATTATTATTATGAATATTATTATATTATTATTATTATTATTATTATTTATCGGTTGTACCGAGAAATAAATGCAAAAGTGCAAAAGATCGTTCATTACATATTTCCTAATTTGAGTCGTTTTTTTTAATGTAATATAATATATATAAAAATAACAATGATATATAATAACAGAACAGAATAATATAAAATTAATTAGTTTAAATAAAATCATTCTACGCGTTGCTAATTCTAACATTTATAAATTTTTTTTTTAATTTTATTAATTTATTAATTTAATAACAAAAAAAAAATTTTAAATTATTTTTTACGAAAAAATTCATTTTTTTTTTTCGAACGTAAATTAAAAATTAAATGACACTTACGTAACATCTAATATAACTTGTGTACATAACAGAACAGATAACAATAAATTTGTGCCTAATTTGATTTTTATCAGAACAATATATTGTTTCACCTGGCGTGATTATATCATGATAAGTAAATTTAAGCTCAAACCTTAACCGATACGATTTATCATTTCCGGAATAATAATAATTATATAACAATATGAATGTGATGGCGACGACGAATGTTTTTATTATGCAATTCTCATGAACATTATAATTATTATATGCATTTTATATATATATATTTTTTCTTAGGAAATACACAATAACGAATAATATTAATTTATTTAAATTTTTCTAAAATTTGAACAAATCAAATAATAAATAATAAATAAATAATAATGTACAGTAAAATAAAATAAATAAATAAATAACAATTTAATTTAACAAGCAAGATATTCATCGTCATCTATATAATCAAAATAATGATAATTTTCATCATAATTAACCATGAAATTTCTTAATTCACTATCAAGGTGAGGAGTAAATTTATTTTTAAATGGACTAAACATTAAACCTAAAATTGGATCAGTATGATCCATTTGATTAGGAACTCTAAATCTTAAATCTTTGATTTTTAATTCATTTAATAATAAATTTAATTTTATACTTTGTTCCAATGGTACAGTGGAATCCTATAGAAATGTATAAATAAATATGTATGTATGTATGTATGTATGTATATTAATAAAATGAATAATTAATGAATAATTAATGAATTATGAATATTATACTATTAAAATATTTAACCAACCCTATCTCCATGAATTAATAAAATTTTAGATGGTAACAAATCTCTTAATTGATCAACATCAACATCATTATTTTTTACAACATTTGAAAGTAATGAAACTGGTGAATTAAGTTCAAAACTCTCAGGCGTGTCACCTAATTTAACAATAAAATAATAAATAATTTATAATAAATGATAATAAATAACTGACTGATAACTAATAATAACTTACCCATAACTCTACCCAATGCAGAAACTTCTTCAACCCCTCTTTGAGATTCCCACATATATTGTCTTTGAATATCAAATACTCCTGTAAATATATAATAAATATAAAAAATATTTTATATAAGACGTAATATAGTTTAATATAAAGTAAAAAATTAATGCAATATAATATAAAAGTAAAAAATTAATACCAGATAATCTATTAAATATTAAAAAAAAATTGTTAGTTGTGTGCAATAATAATAATAATAATAAATAATAATAATAAAGTAATAATAAAAATAAAGTAATAATAATAATAAAGAAGTAATAATAATCCAATAAAATCAACTCTATAAATGCACCCCTCTATAAGTGCATTTTCTCTTTAAATATTTCAGTCCTATCCACTAATAACACTTATAAAATTACCCGCTATAAACGTTAATTCTGATCTTCAGGGGTACATTTATAGAGAGTTGATAAAGTAATAATAATAATAATAATTTAATAATAATTACAATATTAATCCAGAAATTTCCGGAAAATTTAATTCAGGATTAATATCATTAAAAATAGGATTTAATCTTCTTTCCATTGTTTGAGATTTGAAAATAGCATCTCTAAATATAGCTAATGTTGCCAGATGTGCACCTGATGAATGACCCTGCATTATTATTAATTAAAGAATTTAATAGATTATTTTAATCATTTAATCAAATATAATATTGTAAGTAATAAATATATATATATATTAAATATTTAAATACTTACCATCACATGAATTTGCTTGGGATCACCACCAAATTTACTTTAATAGAAATGAAAAATTTTTAAGAAAATTAAAATAAAATTAAATTAAAATAAAATTAAATTAAAATTAAATTAAATTAAATTAAATTAAGATTAAATTAAGATCAAATAAAAAATAAATAAAAAAATAAATAAATAAATAAAATATTACTTGATATATTTTTCTGTCCATATCAAAGCTCGTTTTACATCTGATAACATGCCATTGATTTTTACCTACTCAATTAATTTATTTAAAATAAAAAAAAAATTTAATAAAATTAAATAAATAATTATATTATTATTATTATTATTATTATTATTTTAATTTTTTCTTACTTTAGGGTATAATGAATAATTTGGTACAACTACTACATATCCCATATGTCTTAATCTTAATGCAAGTAAATTATATAACATTTTATCTCCTAATTAAAAATAAATAATTTAATTATTGAACATTAATTATTATTTTAATATAAATTATTTAACATTAATTTAAAAAAATAAAAATCAAATATACCTGAACTCCAAGCTCCACCATAAAAAAATACGATTACAGGATGTAACTTTACATTATTATTATCATTGTTGTTGTTGTTGATATTATTATTATTGTTAATATGTTTGGAATGATCTGGCATATAGACATCAAGTCTATTAGAAATTGAACTGCTACCATAATGAATGTCTTCTCTTTTGAAAATTATATAAAGAAATTAATAATAATAATAATAATAATAATGTGATGATGATGATCATTATTAATATTGTTATTAAGTATTATTATTGATATTAAAATATAATTTACATTATTATAAAATTAAAAAGTATATATATATATATATATAATGATTATACTAATTATTACATCATCATCATAATATTTTATTACCTTAAAACGCGTCGAATCCTTTTACCCAGAACAAAGAATCTAAAATAACCATATTCGGCTAATAATGGAATATATGAAAGGGAACTCCATAACATTTGAAAATTAACATAATTTATTTTGTATATTCGTTTTGGATTGTATGGAAGATTGAATGATCTATCTGTTTGTGCTATAAAACAAATAAATTGATTATTATTATTATTATTTTTATTTTTATTTTATTTTTCATCATCAATAATTGATCATTATTGATTATTGATTTATTGATTATTATTTTTTGATTATAATTAATAATAATTCTCACCAAAATATAAATAAATAATCCATGCAACACAATATGCTCCAACTAATAATAAATTAAAAATAAATAAATAAATATATATATATCAATTATAGAATTTGATAATAATTAATGATGATAATAATAACTTACTAATTATATTTGTTAAAATCAGTGGTAGTAAAATCCCAGCAAATAATGGAAATGGTGGAATAAACATAAGTATAAATAAACTTGAACCTAGCAAGTATGATCCACCAAGAATTAAAATAAATATATGACGTAGAAGAATAATTTTTAAAGACATTATCTTTATTCGTTTTTTATTTTTTTTTTAGATAAAGAAAATAATTTGAAAAAAAAAAGTTTGAAATAATTTGAAAATAATTTGAAATAATTTAAATAATTTGAAATAAATTCAATAATTTATAATGTGATAATTCACTAAATATCATTTGATTAAAACATTAAAACATTAAAAAAAAAAAATTACATATAAATATTTTAAGAAAAAAAAACTTTGAAGGTTTTACTTGACTTTAATATATCTCGAAATGTGGATTGCCTATTTGCTTATTTGTTATGCATACAGTATTTAATAATATTTTATTCTAGATCACATGATTACAAATTGACGAATAAAATAACCCATTTATTTTTTCTTATTTACTTTTCTTATTTACTTTTCTTATTTCACTTTTCTTTCATTTTCTCCTTTCTTTTGACAAAAATGTGTTACCGAGTTGCTATGGCCATGGTAATTTTATCATTAATATTATATTTGAATCTTATACATATAATGTTTAATGATAACAATAATTTTAATAATAATAATAATAATAGCATCCCGATGATGCTTTGGAAAAATTAGAAAATTTAAATATCAATTGTGCAGATTGGTTAGATAGAGGAAATTATCAAACCTCGTAAGTTAAAATCATTTATCTATTTCTTTTTCTGACTCTCTTTCTCCCTTCTTTCTCTCGAATTTATCTTACATATTATAAATATTATAAATAGTTATAATGTTGCACCAACTTCTTATCAACCAGTTATTCGCATGGAACATGGATCGAAACAAACAGTTGTTCACACTATGGTTAGTTATCTGTTGAGGAAAATTTAATTTATCTATAAGTCATTCTTTCTATAATTATTCTTATTTCTATATGATTAGAAATGGGGATTAGTTCCATGCTGGTCAAAATCTCTTCCTAATTCCATGAAGACGGCAAATTGTCGTGATGATTCATTGATTGGTAACGGAAAATCAATGTTTAGTTCAATGAAGAATGCCAAGAGATGCATCGTTCTTGTACAAGGGTGATTTTTATTATTATTAATTTTTTTTTTTTTGATTGTTGTCACGTAATTGCTTAATTATATATATATATATATTATATTAGATTCTACGAATGGCTTACTAAAGGAAAACAAAAAATTCCTTATTATTTTAAAAGAAAAGATGGAGAATTATTATTTTTTGCAGGACTTTATGATTCAGTTAGATTACCAGGTAAAATTAAATTAATTTATTAACAATTGATAATAATAATAATTTAATTAATAATTGATAATAGATAAGGAAGAACTTCTTTTCACATATACCATCATAACAACTTCTCCTGCCAAGTTTATGTCACACATACATAATCGTATGCCAGTAATTCTGGAAAAAGAATCATCAGGTGATATTGCTAACTGGTTAAATCCGGATATTAGATGGAATTCGGAATTGGCTGCTTTACTTAAACCATATGAAAGAGAAGATGAATTAGAATGGTAAAGTTATTATTTTTTTTCATTATTCATTATTATTCATTACTCATTATTAATTTATCACACCTAATTCATAATAAGTTATCAAGTAACTCAAGATGTTAATAAAGTGGGAACTGATTCACCACGTTTTGTTAAACCTGTGAGTCGAATCTTTGAGTCATTTTTATCATCATCCCCTTCTTCTTCAACTTCAAACAATCGCAAAAATAAAATTAAACAAGAAAATGATGATGATGAATTTAAATTTAATATTAAACAAGAAGATGAAGATGAAGTTGGAATTAAAGAAGAACAAGAAAATGAAGATGAAGATGAAGTTGGAATTAAAGAAGAACAAGATGAAGAAGATGAAGTTGGAATTAAACAAGAAGATGAAGAAATTAATATTAAGCAAGAAGACATAAAAATTGAAAGTTCAATTCCTTCTAAAAGGAACCAAGATAATATGGGTAATGATGATAAAAAAGAAGTTAAGCAAGAACAATTTAATAATAGTGATAACGAAATTCATGTCAAAAAGAAGTTGTGTATATCAGGGGAAGTGGGTGAAGATAATGAAGAGGAGGAGGAAAAGAAACCTAAAAGAAAAAAGTCAACTTCATCTATTAAAAAAAAGAATGCAAAATATAATAATAGAGATGATGATAGAGAAGATAATGAATCTTTATCCAAGAAAAATTGGAATAAGAAAGAATCAATTGGTGAATCTTTATCACCAAAGAAAAAGCAGAATAAAATAAAGAAACAAAAAAAAGGTAAATATAATAATAATGAGAAAGCTACTGCTTCTACTGAAGATTTTAAAATTACAAATTATTTTTCTTATAAAAGCTAGAACATTTATATATTTATAATTGTATTATATCATATTATATTATTTGTTTATTTATTTATTCTTATTTATTATATGTATTTGACAGAGTGATAAGTGAGTAGAACAAAAAAAAAATAGCAAAATAGTATTTATTTTTTTTTGTATATAAAATCCGCAGCAATGATGATAACTCATAAAAATTATAATGCAAAAATTAACAATAAAAAAAATTTTCAATATATTTGATAATATATAAATTTAATATTTTACATACATATCTGATATTACAAAAAAAAAAAAATCAATAACAACAATAAACAGTTAAATCACCACCACTACTACATGAATAATAATAGTTCAAAAAAAATTTTAAGCCGCTATAAGTAATATTAACAAAATTATCAATACTATAATTAATATTCCAATACACACACTGGATCTTTTTTCTATATATAATATATATATAATATGTATATATATATATGTATATGAATATGGTGTATGGTGTATGGGTATGATAAATAATTTAAATGAAAATTAAAAATAATTAGTAGATGAATAGATAAATTAATTATATAATGTAAATATATAAAATTTTACCTTCATTATGTTGAAGAATCCATGTCACTTTATTCTTAACACTTTCTAATCTTCCATGTGATCGTTCTACATGTTCTCCTAAATCATCCAATAACCTATTATTATCATCATCATCATCATCATCAATTATTTTAATTATTTTAATCATTTTAAATTATTTTAAATTATTTTAGATTATTTTTATTTGTTGTAAATTTAGAAAAAAAAATTAATATATTAAAACCAAATTAAAAATTAACAAATAAATAAATTCAGAAAATTAATAAATAAATTTATAAATACAAGTTTTGATCATCAATTTCTGATCTCATTGAAGTAGCAATCTCATGAATATTACGAGCAGTTCCATATAATGAATCTAATTGGTCATCTTGCTCTCGAATTAAAACCTGTAAAATTAATTTATTTAATTATTTAATTCTTTAATTATTATTAAATCATTATTAAATCATATATATATATTCAATATACCGTTTGATGAAGTGATTCATTTTCTATGAAATGTGTATTATCCATTTCTATCACTTCTTCATATCTTGATTTTGATCGTGTTTTATCAAATAAACTATTTTTATTATTATTATTATTATTATTATTACTCTTACTTTCCTGAAAATTTAAAGTCATTATTATTATTATTATTATTATTATTAAAATAAATTATTAAATAAATAAATAATTAATTAATTATTCATTTATTTTTTTTCTTACTTGAATTTTAGAAGATGAACCTTTTAGTCTTTTGGGTGGATTTGCTAAATTTGATTGAATATCCTATTATAATATAACATATAATATATTTATATAAAAATCATAACAATGTATATATGTATCTCTATCAAATATCAAAATTAATATATTATCTAAGAAATAAATTTACCCTTATTTTTTGTTTTGTATTATCAATAAATTCTTGTCGAGATTCAATATCAAATTTTGTCAATCCATATTCATCAAGCTTACCTTCTGCAACTCGTATTTATTATTAATATTAAATGTTCATTATGGAATAATAATGATATAAAAAAAAAATAATAAAGATAGAAATAATAAAGATAGAAATAATATAAAAAATAAAGATAGAAATAAAATAAAAATATATAGAAATGAAAATAAAATAAAGTATATAGAAATGAAATAAAATATAGAAATAATTAAAAGGATATTAATAGATTCATCCAATTCATCTAAATCCGTTAAAATGTAAAGTAAAGAGGATTTCAATTCTTCTTCAGTTCTTTGTAATTCTTCATTATTTATTGAAGTAACCGTGTTATATATTCGATTCCAACTTTCAAATAACGTTATTGCTGTTGAAACACTTTGTTCTATTTCTCTATATTATTATCATTATTGTAATAATGTTTATTATCATCATTGTCATAATATTTTATTATATATTATAATTATTGTTATAATATTATATTTTTTTATCATTATTATCATTTATTATCATTAATATCATTATATTATTATTGGATTAGCATAAAATTGTTATTAGATTGTTATTATTTAGAAAGAAAAAAAATGATGTAAGAAGAAAATAAATTAATAAAGAAAGAAAGAAAGGAAGAAAGAAAGATTGATTCAATACTCTTTGACATCAAAAAATGGATCTGTATTCTTTTCATATGACATTTTTTATTCAATAGTTTATTATTCAGTAGTGTATTATTCAGTAGTTTATCATTCAGTGGTTTATCATTCAGTTTTTGTTCTTTTATTTCTTATATCAAGTTATGTGTGTGTGGTGGTTTAAAAGAATACGGGATTTGCAAAAAAAGAAAAACGGGATTTTTATGGATTTATGGCTATTTATATAAAAATAAAAATAAAAATAATTCTTATTTTTATAAGCCACTAGAAATGCTTGAAATTCTTGAAATTTACCAAAAATGGTAAATTTATTTATTGAATAAAGTAAAAAGTATAAATATAATATATTTTTTTTAAAAAAAAAAAACCTCTGAATCACAAGTTTATTGTTTTTTCTTTTATCCGCGAAAAAAAAAAAAAAAAAATCCAGAAGCCAAATTTCATTTATAGTAAATAAAATGAATGGTCAATTAATGTTTATTTTATTATTATTTATTTAGTACAAACATTTATGCGAGACAGATTTTCGCTTGATAGGTTAAACATCTATCATAATATTTTTTTAACAAATTTTTTAAACATTTAATGCATTTTAATCCATTTTATAATTTTTTTTTTTTTGATTGGAAAAGGGTAGATTGAAACAGTCCAAATAAGGTTATTATAATAGGTAAAAAAAAACACTCACAAAAGAAATTGTATACAATATTAATAAAGTTATTTAATTAAATTAATTATATTCTTTTTTTGTATAACCTTTAAATTTCATTGCGTTATCATCGACATACGTACAACGCATCAACACACGCACAACACATCATCAATATAAACAATATAATAAATAAATAAATAATCGTTCGTCAAAAAGTTTTTTTTTATTTTTCCTTAAAACTTCTCTTTCTCTCCTGTTTTACCGTTTTATATCTATTCCATTATCATAATATATTAATATAATTATTCTTTTTAATTTATTAATATTATTATTATTTTAATTTTCTTTTTTTTTTTTTGATTGTAAAAAAAAAATCAAATAAATAAAAATTTTACGGAGAATACATTAAAATCCGCAATGTATTATTTTCATTCTAATATATATACATATATATTATAAATAAATAAAATATATATATATATATAAATATCATTTATTTAAAAAATATATTAAAATAAATTATATATATACACATATATATATATAATTTTAAAAAAATAATTCTTTCATCGAAATTTTCTGGTAATTTCGTCGTAACTTTATCGTAACTTCGGCGCAAATTCGTCGTAACTTTATCGGGGAAGGAGGAACGAAGAAAAAAAAAACAAAAAAAAATGAATCAAAATACGCAAAGTACATTATTACTATTAGTTCAAAGTACAAATACATTAGTAACACCTACCCCAATTTCTAGTGATAGTGATCCTTCACATGATGAACCGATGTTATATGTGATATTATTTTTTATAGTGATAGGATTTTTTGGTGGAATTTGTTGGATATTTTGTTGTGGTACTTGTGTAGGAAGGGATTTTTTAAAATTTTGTTGTGGAGAACTTTATAAGAATATTAATGATTGGTTTAAAATTGATAATAATATTATTAATAATAGAGGAAGAGGAAGAAGATGGAGAAATAACAATAAAAGAAGTGGTAATTTTAGTGATAATTTTGGTAATAGTTTTAATAATAATTTTGATGATAATAATAGAGGAAGAAATTATAAATATAAATCAACTGCTAGGGATGAAGAAGAATGGGAAATGTTGGAAGGTGGTGGAATGAGAAGTGATGATGATGATGATGAAATTACAATTGGATTTAATAATAATAATGGTGGTGGTAGTAGTAGTAATAATAATAATAATAATAATAATAATAATAATAATAATAGTAATAGTAGTAATAGTAGTAATAGTAGTGGAAGAATAAAAGGAAGAATAAGTGATGAAAATATTGAAATTGAGTATAGAGATGAAATTATTGTTATTGAAGATTAAAAAAAAAAAATTAACACATCACATGTATTATTATTTTTGATTTTATTTATTACATATATTTTTATTATTATATTTTATATTATCTTATTTTATTTTAAAATTGAATTCTTGTTATTCCCATAAAATTAATCACCTTACACAATTAAAATAATATATATAACAATAAAATAAACAAAAAGTTCACATGATCATGACAAATCTTATGATGTAATGTCATAAAGAATATTAACAATTACTAACTGTGGATAATTATTCTAAAAATTTATTCTGAATAAAGTTGGTACGGAAATTTTATTTTTTCATATGATTCACCCCCTTTTTATAAAATTTTCTATATAAAATAGCTTTAATAACTGTTCCATTTAATAGAACTCATTATTTTTCTACTGACAAAAATGAAATACGGGTATTTTCAAGGTATAAATTTCATGATAATTTGTTATTTGTTATTGATTATTAATATTATTATTAAATATATGGTTTTTATGTATAACTTTCCTTTTTTATTCATTTATTTATAGAAAATACGGCTGAAGGTATTAATCGTATAACTGCTCCAATCAATTTTACTAAAATTCAATTAGCCACTTTAAGCACAAAATTCATATGTTATGGAACTCGAGATGAAATATTAAAATGGATGATAGAAAATGAAAATGTTTTAGTGGAATCTTCTTCAACAATTTCTTCCCCAACAACAATTTTTTCTCCAACAACAATTCTATCCTCTATAACGAATACTTCAGATAATAATATAACATTTGATTTATTTACTGATAATAAAAATTCTTTTTCTTCAACAACATCATCATTTACCATGAATAATTATCAATTTCCTTGGCTTGACAACAATAACAACAACAATAATAATAATAATTGTAATAATGATTACGTTGATAATGAAAAAATAATGTTAGAAATGCGTTCAACTGATCCTTTGATGGATGCAAAATTTCATCCCTTACGTAGAATAGTTTTAAAATCAGGATTAAAACTTGGTCAAATATCTAAATTATTATTATTTTTGGATAATAATAAAAGTTGGAAAGAGTATTCATTATCATTTCCGGACATTGTCACCTTACATAATTGTTTTCTAGAAAGATCAAAATTACAAATAAAAAAATCAAAATCAAAATTAAAATCAAAATTAAGATTAAATTCGATATTAAGTGATAAAGGTAATAAAAATGATAAAGAAGTAAAGGAAGTAGATAATGATGAAGTAGGTGGTGATGATGATGTTTACGATGATGATGATGTCGAAGATGATGTTGAAGATGATGTTGAAGATGATGAAGGAAAAGCAACAAAAGTTGAAGAATTAGAAAAATCTCTTAAAACATTTTCTGAATGGTTTCCAAAAACAAGTTGTATATTTCGAAAATTTGAAAAATCATCGATACCACCACCAGGAGTTTTAACTCCCTATAATTCTGAATTATTAGAATTATTAGATGAACCGAAAATTACCAAAGAACATTATAAAGTGAAACAAGTTAAAACCGAAAATGATCAAGGTGACGGAGATGAATTACCGAAATATGAAAATGTCAAAAATGATTTGTTATTAGAACGTGGATCGTCGATTAAAGGTTTCAAATCACTATAGTTGATAATTTAATTTCAATCATTATTATATAATCATAACAATAATTATAACAATAATTATAACAATAATTATAACAATAATCATAACTGTAATTATAATTTTTTATATTTTATTAAAATAAATAATTGAAAATAATACTTAACCATTAAATATACATAATGTTATAACTAGGGATGTTATCAGTTTGAACTGAGATTTTAATAAATTTTCGAAAAACGCAGTCGTACCTAACCAAATAAAGAAATTTATTTTTTTAAAACGGAAAGGTAATAGTATCTAATATACTTTAATTATTAGATCATTAGATAAACTAAAAAAAATTAATGTGGGAAAGTACAATAGTTAAAAATTTTAGGGTTGGGTTAATCACATGTTAGAGCACTTGATATCTTTACCTACCACCCTATTTTTGTACAGTACAAAATAGCTGGTTTAATAAAATCATTAATTGGCCAATAAAAATTAAGCTTTTTATAACAAGAGTTAAAAATAACGCACATACATCACGAGAATATAAATTCAGCAAATGGAATAATGTTGTTGTTGGCTTATAAAATTTAATCTATAATTATGATTTGCTATCTATTACGTGACACAAAAATTCCGTACCCCTTTAAAAAGGTAACCGCGTCTTGTTTTTATGAATCAAGGTACAATGGAACGTCAACTTACAGAATATCAATACGTTTGCCAGCATTTAACAGACAATACATTAGTTGCTAAAAATTTCTATTCGTATTTCAATTACACTTCCCATAAATGCACTTCAGAAAACATTAAATATGGTACCTACTGCATGCTAAACAACATTTGACGCGAAAAGATTTTTTAGGAATAACAAGGTAAGAATTTTACTTTATAAGAAAGGATAGGAAGATGAAAGAGAAAATAACTACGGAGGCAACGTTAAACATGGCGAACAAAAGACTCGATTTGGCAACTGAAATCATTCACAAAAATGTATTTGATCATTTGGAGAAAGAAGAAAATAACGAAAACGAAAACGACGAGCAAAATGAGGCTAAATCAAGTATACTTCCTATCAAAGTCTATAATAACAGCAAAATACATAAGCTAAAGGTCTGTCATGTTATCTTGATGAAATTCCTCTTCACGCTGTATATTCACTCATGAGGGAAGATTGGATAATGGGCGGTATAAACTTAAGCAGTAATCTAAAGGGAACTAGTGATTGTACAGTTCAAATAAATGGTGAGCATTGGGACAAGATCATAATCCCATTTTTAGCAAAATACAAGTTAAAAAATGCATTTTCTACAGAGGAAGATGAAGAAAGCTAGTAAATATGTTTGGAGAAGAAAACTCTTAAAACCAGGAAATTTAAAATTTATATCCAATTTGACTTATATCGAACAGGACACTACAGAAGTTTTCGAAATTGTGAATCGAATACGATTAGTTTCGTATCTTAAAGAATTTTCTGATTGTCAGGGCTTGGCATCGCTGGAAAGAAAATGGCCAACATTTCTTCCTTCTGATATATTAGATAAACGATTACGGTATATTTTATGGGCATTTGAGCTTATAAAATGGGTGTAAGTGTTGCTATACTATATAATAACATTTTTTTCTTAGTATTGTGCAATGGCAGGATGGTACTTTTCTCAAGGAGATGAAAAAACCATGGATCAAAATACAGTTAGCATCTCGACTTCTTGGGATAGTGAGTTCAATAAAACCTGGCTAAATTGAATCAAATTCAGAAAAAATAGTCTCTAACTATAACAAAGTATTGACATTATCAAAAATTAAAGCAAAAACTCGTGTAGACGGGCTTGATGATGCTGAATAATTTGGAATATCCGGGTCGAATTGAAAGGTGGCTTTGGTAATTATCATGAAGTTGAAAACAAAAATAATCGTGAGGATTTAGATGTATTACTTAAGGGTTTCTCAACAATGTCTGCAATGCAAGCACTTACATTACCAGAAGAAGCAAAGAAAAGGATTGGAGATCTTGAATTTTTTGGAATAAGAGGGATCGGAAATCATTTTTAGTTTTGGGGTAGTTTTCAGGTTTCCAAGTACCTTATGTGCTATATTTGTTAGGAGAATTTCGATTACAATCGTTTGAAGGAAGAGAAGGTAGAGGAATTCAGGATTTATTATATGAAATCAGAATCATTTACACATTCAAGGTATATATTTATTTTATTTTCAAAAAGTTTGCTTGAGTTTTATTATCGATACTTGTATTGTTTGTCAATAGAGTAGAAATTAGTAAATTAAATTTTCATCGGATAAAAACTTTAGCAATAAGTAAGAGAGTTTTTGAAGCTGACTCTTCACCAATCCAGGCAAAAAGAGTTCGACTCAGTAATGGTCATGTGAATTTATTTTTTCAAAATTAATATGCATCAATATCTTTTTTCTAGTTTTGTTAAATTCCTTTTGAAGAATTGGTTATAGAAAGGTATAAAAAATTTTCTATTCGCCGTTACAAACTAAACTTCCCCTTAGTGCTCCTCAACGAATGTTATATAACATACTGTTGTGGACTAGGTTGCTGTGATCGTGGATATTACCATTGTTATTTGACATTAAATTTTAATTTATGCCGTTGCATACTAAGTCCCCTTAGTGTTCCTCGATGAATGTTATTTAACATACCATTGTGGACTGGGTTGATGCGATTGCATACAATTAGCATAAAGTGTGATGTGTATTTGAGAAATTTAATTTGATTTTTTTTTTTTAATAGTTCTAGCAGTGTAAAAAAATATGTATCATGTCCTTAAGATGTCTCTTCAAGTCATAAAGTTATAATTTCATTGAATTCTGGGTTTATTTATGTTAAAATATATATCAGAATTTAAAGTGTTATTGGATATATGAGATACTAAAATTTATTAGAGATGAATCAGAGATTTCAACATCTGCCCATTGCGAAACATTAATGATAGTGTAAGAGGTTATTAATTAAATTTTTTAAAACCATATAACATCACAGCCAAAATTCTAAGAAAAATAGAAGCCAAACATGCTTCCAGAATTCATGCGGGGCTAGAATTCAATTCCTGATTTGCTTAGTAGGATAGCAATAAGAGCAATAAGATAAAAAATAGATCGTTTTGATGCGGGAAAAAATTATGCAATTGCTGATACATCTGATTCTGAATTTGCAGGAAAAAATGATAAAACCATCGATTTGTAAATTAGTATAAATAAATCACGAATCCCGTTCCAATTTGAAATGGATATCACTTTTGCCAAGAAAAATTCTCGATTTTATGTAACATGATTGGTATTACTTCTAACTTCTAGAGTGATCATTACGACCACAAGTTGCTTGTTATGCATATCCGATCGTAATTATCACATGAGGAATCTCGGATACATCATAATTAAACTTATTAAACTTTACAATGGTGTTGTACAATATTATCAGTTATTTAGACATAATTAGACACAAGATATACATCAAATCAAAGAATTTGCAGAAAAGGAAAGAATTTACATAAATGGTAAATAGATAAATATAATTAGACACAAGATATAAGAATTTGCAGAAAAAGGAAAGAATTTACATTAAATCATTAAAATGGTAAATAGATAAATATTAAATTTCAAAAAAAAATAATTTTCATTTTTTTTACTTTTTTACATTTTATATGCTATAATGCTATAATGAATAATATAATTTTTCATTCAAAAGTTTAATTAATTATTTAACTATGTGAAGAATACTTTCAAGACAAATAAACAACAACAAACATAATTTATAATCACTTCTAATAATTCTAATAATTCTAATAATTAAAATTCATATCATTCTTCAAATTTTAATTATTCTTCCCATTCTTTATCAATTCCTGCAATGAATTCATCATCATTATCATATTCAATCTCTAATCGATCAAAACCTCTTCGTGCTTCCGTAACAAGTTTATCTGATCATTATACTAAACGAGGTCATTTGGAACAATATCGTAATAATAATCCTAATGATGATAAAGGAATTTGGTCTTCAATTAAAATGAGAATAAAGAGATCAATTTATTTTGAAACAATATATTTAATTGGAAATGGAAGACGATATAAATGGTATCTCAAAATGATAATATTGATCTTGATGACATTTTTAATTATACAAAACATATTGAAATTATTTTGTATTGAATCAGTTGAATCAACAAAGAAACATAAGAATCATAAGAATCATAAAAATGATAATGATAAGAATAATAATTTTCGTGGAACTAATCATCATCATAATGGAGAGGATGATAAAAGATTAGACCCAGTAAAATATTTAGGTATAGATTTAAATTTAAATTTAAATTCGAGTCTTCCTCAAGGTACTACATTATATCATGTTACTAGGGAATTTGGTTCGGCGGTCACAAAAACTGAACTCGGTAAATTATTAACAAGTTTGGTACGAGCTCAATCTACTGATGAATCTCTTAAAGTAAATGTAATTATTCCTTATTATCCTTTTTTAAAACCTATTTATAAACCAATTTCTTACGCTCAACTTAACATTCGTATACAAAATGGTCAAGGTGAATGGAGAGTTGCTAAATTTGGTGTTTATCGAAGTTGGATTAAAATTTTGAATAATGAAGAAATTATTAATTCTTCACCTCGAAAATCAACCAATTTAAAAAATTTTATTAGTGTATTCATGATTAGTCCTTCAACTAATATGAGACCATATAAATTAGCATTTAAAGTTAATAATAAATCAAGTATTTATACATCTAAAAGTACTTTGCCTTTAGAATTAAATGCTTTATATTTTTCTAAGGCTGCCGCTGAATTTATTATTTATAGAAATACGGTAGTTGATACTTCATTATTTGCCAAAACCGAAAGTCGAGGAGTTGACATCGTTCATGTACATGGATCACTTAATGCCATGACGATCGAATTTCTCGGAATATTTAATAAAGGTTATAAATTTGGGAGAAATCCTCCTTCAATGATTTATACTTTTTATAATAATTTTGAAGAACAATTATTTTCTTTTGGATTAGATAAAGTAAATAGATTTATGGATGTTAAAAAATTTAAAGAAAAACATTCAAAATATTTTTATTTAAATAGATTATATGCTTCATCTTTAGGAATTGGTAAATCTCAAGTATCAACTTTTATATCAAAAGAAGTTGCTCAAGAAATGGTTGAAGGTTCTTTAGAATTTCATATGAAAGATTTGGTTATGCCTATTTTAACAAAGAAAGCTATTGATGGATATTGGATAGGAATATCTAAAGGATTCGATTTAACTATTATTAACCCATTTGAAGATATGTTGTTAATAAATAGTAATTCCAATTTTCCTGATAACATACACACCTTTGATATAAATTTATTTTACTTAGAGATGAGAGAATTCATTAATTTTTCGTTTCCTCAGTTTAATTCATCTTCTTTTGAATTTAATTCATCTTCTCTTTCTCAATTTAATTTATCATCATCATCACCATTTTTTTCTCAGATTGATTCATCTCAATTATTAATAAGTACCGCGAAAACAAAAGCAAAAAACTTTTTAGTTGGTGAAGGATTATTAGAGAATCGAGATCTTGAAAATCCGTTAGTACTTTTTACAGGTTATTCCAAGTTCATAATAAAAAGATTTGAATTTTTCGATCGTATCACGAATATATTAGGAAATTTGAATGCAAAATTTGTGATAATTTCAAAAGAGAATATATTAAAAGACAAAAGAAAAGAATACGATGAGGATTACGATGATAATGATGTTAATATTAAAAAATTAGAAGAAAAATATCCTAACGTTTTGCTGGTATTAAATGATGAACAATTATTTGCGGATCGGGAAATACGATTTAGAGCAGCGGCAGATATTCAATTATTATTAACAGAAAATAATGATTATGGAAATGATGAATTTAATGAAAATGAAAATAATGGATTAATTAATGTGTTAGAAGCATTTTTATTTGGGAATATTGTAGTAGGAAATAATGATGATGAAGTGACGAGTGAATATTCCAAGTTTTTAGTTAACAAGAAATTTGATGAGGATCCAACTTTTATTTATAACATTTTTAATTTTATTAATATTCTTGAAAATGAAAATAAGAAATCGGGCATGGGAAATGTAGAGAATGCAACCAATACAAATAATACAAATGACGCAGGGAATATTATTACCGTTGATGATGATGGTCAGAAAAGAGAAGATGAGAAACAAGTAACAGAAGGAGGAGACGTAAAAGAAGAAACAATACAAATAGTCATTGATAATGATGTTACTGATAAAAAACAAATAGTCATTGGTGGTGGTGATGTTGATGATATTGATGATAAGAAACAAATAGAAGAAATACCAATGACCACCGATGAACAGAAATATGTGGAAAAAAGGCAAATGACAATACCGATGGGAATTGAAGAGCAGAAACAAGAAGTAACACTTATGATCACTGATGAACAGAAACATACAGAAACGACATTACAAATAAGTATTGATGATTTAGAAGTAACATCAATTTCTACTGAAGACCAGAAACTTATAGAAACAACACAGACGAACTTTGATGACCAAAAACTTATGGAAACATTACAAACAAGTATTGATGTAACATTAATATCTACTGGAACTGATGACATAAGTCAATTAGAAGTAACACCGGCATCAGCTGAACACGTAGAAACAAGCATTGATGATCAAAGACTTATAGAAACAATGCAGACGAGTACTGAAGATATAAATCAATTAGATGTAACACCGACATCTGCTGTTGATGAACATATAGAAACAACAACACAAATGAGCACCGATGATCAAAAACTTATAGAAACAATGCAGACGAAAACTAACAATATAAGTCAATTGGAAGAAACAGAAACACCGACATCTACCGAAGACCCGGAACTTCTAGAAACAGAAACACCAGTGAGCATTGATTATAAGAAACATTTAGAATCCTTAGAACATTCACTACAAAAAGGATTTAATTCATACCTATTTGAATTTGATCCAAATGATTTGGATAAAACAATTTCAAGTTTGACGAATGAATTCAAGTTAGCCATAAAGGATTGGAAAAGAATGGATACTTTTGTAAAAGAATTATTTATGAGAAGATTGATAAAGGAAGCATTGAAATTTGATTGGAATTCTCCGGGAGGTGGAGTTGAACAATATAAAAAGGTATATAAGTTGGCAATGATGCAGACAAGTGATATTTTAGAAGAAGATTTATGGTAAAAAAAAAAATAAGAATAATTAGAGGAGTAAAGTATCAGTTTCGAGGCAAAGTTTTATAAATGAATATAAATGAGTCACATGTATTTATAAGTGAAGTGATTATAATATGAATATAGTGTAAAGTAAAGTAATGTAAGATAAATAATGTAAATAGTATTTTGATGAGGTGAAAAATTTTAATAGATTAGAAAATTCGTCAACATTTTATAATTATTATTTAGATTATTTAAAATGAAATACAAGAAATTATTTGTTTAGAATTACTAGTTATGTAGATGGATTTGAAAATTTTACATATAATATACGTTGAAATAAAAGTATTATCATATACTAGTCAAGAAATATTGAAATTTCATTAAAATAATCACATGTTGAAAAAAAAAAAATTCCCTTCTAACTATTTAGAAATAAGAAAACTGAGAAAAAAAGAACCCATTAAAGAATGGAAATCAATTGATTTTTTTTTTAAAAAAAAGGAACGCGATTAGTTTTTTATAAATTTATATAATAAACCTATTCCAAAATCCAAAGAATTTAAAGAATTTGGGTTTCGAATTTTCGTGAAATTTTTGTTCTATATACATATACATAATAATAATAATAATAATAATAATAAAAAAAAAAAAGCTATCAGATATGATAGGCAAACAATAATTTTTGACAATTTTATTGTTTTTCAGAAAGCGAATCCTATATAACATATATGTTATAAATTTAGAATAAAATATTTAAAGAAATTAATAATAATAATAATAATAATAATAATAATAATAATAATAATAATAATAATAATAATCACCTCTCCAGTATCCGACAAATCTTCGTTATCAATAATAAAACGAATTTCTTGAACATCACAATCAACCTCTTTTCCTTTAGATTCATCTTCTTCATCATTTTGAGAATTTTGATCGTCAACGTCGTTTTCTTTCTAGATAAAAAAAAAATTTATCGCGATTTTATCATTAGTTTCATGTTTGACATAAATCTATTAAATATAATCTATTGAAAAATCCATTAAAAAAAAAAGAAAAGAAATTTGCCTCATCAATTATGTGTCGACGCGTATTTTTTGGTCTAATTGGACGAAACAACTTCCTTTTCAACTAAATGTAAATGTAAATAACTATATTTAAGTAATGAATCATTAAACGTGATAAATATTTGAATGAAAAAAGAATTCAATAAATAATTTACTTGAACAACTTCAACTCCTTCTCTACTCAGTTCTACCAATTTCTCTGACTTATTTCTAGCAAGACTACGAGTCACACGAACATATCTTAAACCGTTATTAATGTTTGAATATCGAGAAGATCGTCTCTTGGCCATGATATTTGAAAGACGCGAAAACGCGAAAAATGTGAAGAAAATTGATTCGTTATTTATCAAAGATGTTGTTATCGGTTATCGCGAATCTAACTTTTTTTTAAAAAAAAAAAAAAGATCAGAATTTGATGATGATGTTTTATGGAGAACAAAGATGAAGAAGAAATAATTTTAAAAAAAATCTATTAAAAAAAAAAAATCGTTAAATTAACTTTTCCGGAAAAATCAAATTGACATGTGGAATTTTACTCGATATGTGCCGTTATCGTTTTACTAAAAATTGACTGATGATCCATACAAAAAAAAACAAAACAAATAAAATGGTTTTTAGCACATGATAAGTTGACTAAATGAATGTTATCTATATTGACTTGTTAAGCTTCAATGAAATGTTGAGCTTTAAATAATATTGTTGTCATCAAGAGGAACGTTCAAGCCATCAAGCAAGCAACCAGCATAACAAAAATAGATGTTTGAGGAAAAAAACAAACCACTTTCAACGAATGATTCTGTTGCATAATGTATTAAATGTTGATAAACTCCACGAGATTATTTCTTCCATATTCCATTCTAATAAAAAAACTTCTCGTTCCGTTTCTCAATTATTAAATTTCTATCACCTAACACTTATTTCTATTTCTGAATATATAAAATCCATCCAATGATTTAATTGGTTAAAATTTCAATAAATATGACATCTTTAAGTTTTGATAAAAGAAATTATTCCAGGGGTACAATAAAATTACTTCAAAAAAAAAAAAAGCTGGCAAATGAAAATGGGAGGAAATTTCTCCATCACATTATAAAGCTACTTGTAAATAGTTCTCCGAAAGGTCAGGTCGACCTGATAACCCGTTCTGAATCAACGGGTTAAGGTCACATATTTGGGAGGGTCATAGTTTTTTTTTAACCCAGGTTTATATAATAATGTTGTAATATTTTGAAAACCAGTATTTTAATCACTTAATACGTTATTATTTCTTTGGTCATTTTACATATATTCTATTATTATCATAATTGTTATTTATTGTAATCTTTAATCAATTAATATTTTCAGTCGATCGTTTGAAACAGTGCTTTCTATATCTTTACAGGATAAAATGTCTTGAAAAATTCATTGGCAGATATCATAAATCAAGATATACTAGATGAGTTACGTAACTTCCTTTGCCCTGATGGAAGAAGTTCGTTCATACCAGCTTATTTTGAGAAAGAGTCCGTGAATGCATACAATTTTTCTATAGTCGCCAAGAGCTAAACTTTATGGCTAAAAATTTTGCCACAAGCATTCATACAGGCATGAACGATTGCAAGGCAAGTTGGAGAATAAACTTTCGATAACCTACTTGTTGGTTTCATAAAAATGTGCACAAAACAATTCCAAAATTCCTTGCTTCGTATATCCGTGAGCTTGCTTAAATTGATAAACGTTTGTCCCTTGCGATCAATACACTTTAACGAGGCAGTTAGCATATTATAACAGAAAAGCTATTAAGTGATAATGAGATTTCGTATCTACGACTGGAAAACTGTACTGTTTAGGATCCATTTTCGCTATTTCTCCCTTCAGACCCTGGTATTATAATAACTAAACTTCTCAAAGACTCACTTACTTACATTAATTATGTCAGCGAGTTTGGAAAATATATATTCGTTTTTCCTCAGTCGAAAGAACGCAAATTTTGCCTTCCTCGAAGTTATTTAATTAATTATTACTGTTTTTAATATTAAAGAGGAGGACTATCGCGAAGAAATCGAAATTTATTCTATCAAGTTCAACTGCTGCATTCTAAGCTATTTTCTGTACAATATTTTTAAATATTTTTGAACATCTGAAAAAAAATCTCACGCTATTTGTTTCAAGAAGAAAAAAAATATGGAAGGCTGAATTTTTAACTTAAAAAGAATGGAAAATTGTAATGACAAACGACAATTTTCTTTCTTGAAAAGTTTTGGGTCACGAAAATTACATACACTTCAGTTAATGAATTTCGTTTTTTCCTTTATGAGGGAAGCCAATTGCAGTGAACAGAATCTCAGCTCAATGTTTTTTCCTTTCAAAAGTAACGACAAGAACAAGTGAAGAAAATGAAAATAATGACAACTTGAATATATTTGGTAATAATAATAAAATTGTATTTTCTTTGAGAAAAGAAATCTTTACAAGAACATTTTTTTTTTATATAACTAATAAAAATTTGAATAAAAAATTTGGATAGAAAATTTGTAAAATATACAAATTAATTTTTATATTATAAAAATATTTTAAAAATTTTGTTACAGATAAAAAATGTACATTATTCTATAATACAATAATTCTGTATTTATTTATTGAACGTTTCTTCATTCAGCTCTATCCTTTCCTTTACCCTTTTTTATTGAATCAACAACATAAGGAGATTCTTCAAACTCAATTGTTCCATTATTATTTATATTGTTATTATAACTATAACTGCTGCTAGAACCACCAACACCAACACCGATATTAATCTGTTCATTATATTCTAATGGTGGATTTAATTGTGGTGATTGATTGATAACAATATTTGGTTCTTCTTTATTCATTTGTTGTTGTTTAGATTCTACTTGTTGGGTAAATCTCATTTGTACCGTACGATAATATTCTAATTCTTTTTCTGAAACCGAAGGAACTAATTCTCGTAAGGCTTTTTCGAAATCTTCTTGAATCACTTCTACCAAAGTATCCTCGGGTGAGGCAAGATGATTTAAATAGTATTGTGATGTTATCGGTTGGGGAAGATTTGGTTTGGGATTTGAATTCAATTGAGCTAATTATGATGATTGATTGATTGCAAAATAAATATTTCATTTTAATTAAATGATTTGTTGTATTAATTTAAATTATTTATAATATTAATGATATCTATAATATTTATGTATAATCTTTATAATATTTAAAATTATTAAAAATTTAAAATTATTAAAATTTAACGTACCAACTTTGGCTTCTACTTTCTCTGCTGTTCTAGACATGGCTTTAAGCACAGCATCAGAACAAAGTGCATAAAAATCTGCACCTGTATAATTGAATGGACATTTTTCTGCCACAGAACGAAGATTTAATGATGGATGTAAACGGAATCTAAGGAATAATTATTATCCAAAGTTAAAAAAAAAAAATAAATATGTTATATTATATTATATTATATATAAATAATTCTACTTACTTTCTTGTAAGTGCTTGAATAATATTAAGTTGTGTATCGTGATCTTCACTTACACCAAGGTAAAGAAGCTTATCAAACCTTAATTATTTTAAAATACATGAAAAATAAAAATTAACATATTCAAACTATTAAAACAATTAAAAGAAAAATATAAAAAAAAAATCTAACCTTCCAGGTCTCAATAGTGCAGGATCCAATAAATCTGGACGATTGGTAGCTCCAATAACAAATACATCTGTCGTACCACCACCTTGACCCATTCCATCTAATTCAGCTAATAATTGACTAACAATTCTATCCATTACACCACCTGAATCTCCTTTTTCTCCTCGTTTAGGAGCAACAGAATCTAATTCATCAAAAAAGATAACACAAGGTTTGGCATCTCTAGCTCGTTGAAAAACTCTACGTACATTAGCTTCAGATTCACCAATATACATATTTAATAATTCGGGACCTTTCACAGAAAAGAAATTAAGTGAACAAGATGTGGCAACTGCTTTAGCCAATAAAGTTTTCCCAGTTCCTGGTGGACCGTAAAGTAAAATTCCTGATCTCTTTTTCATTCCAGTTGCAAATAATTCTGGATGTTCTAATGGTAATTGAATAGTATCTAAAATATCATCTTTAATAGATGCGAGACCTCCAACATCATCCCAAGTAACATTTGGAATTTTAGGAGCTCCGATACTATCAGAATATGATGATCTAGCTTTAGTTAAAGCTTCATTAAAATCATCTGCCGTCAATGCAATACCCGCGTATACAAGATCACTATCCTTTAATGACTTATTTGTTTCGATTAAAGATTTTTTAACTCTCTCATGTGCTACGAATCCAGCCCTCGCAACTAAATCTACTAAATCTTTTGCAACCAATGCAGCAGTTTGAGTTGCTAATGAAGATAATGATACATCAGGTGCAATAGGAATTTCTCTAGTCAAATGTTCTAATATTGCTAATCTACAAGGTTCATCAGGAGCTTCAAATGAAATTTCATGCCTAAAACAACTTATAACACTAGCTGGTATTTTCTCAATATCACCCGTAGTACCTACCACAAGAACTGGATAACCAATTGTTTGAAAATTTTCTAATAATTGTTTAAAACTATCTTGTAATACGGAAGAGATAGATGGTTCTTGACCAGTTTCTAATGCTACACTTTTTCTCGCCAATGCATCGATATGACGTAATAAAAATATACAAGGAGAAAATGTTACGGCCTTATCAATTTTTGCTCGAAGGGAAGATTCAGTTTTTGAATCGGATTCACCAGAAAATTCAAAACAATTTACTTCATAAACATGTACACCAACGCGTTCAGCAACCCATTCAACAATTGTCTTTTTACCACAACCCCGAGATCCATGTAATAAAACAGTACAACTAAGGTTTAATGAAGTAGCATTTGGATGTAAACAAGAAGAAATAAGTTCAAATAATTTTGTAAAAGGAGTTTCAGGAGCAGTGAGAATTGGATTAATATGAGAAAAGCTTGGAGTTTCAGTAACAATATTAAAATAAAGTTTCAAAACGGGTACTTTAGAATGTTCCAATCCGGTTTGCATTAATCGAGTATTTTTTGAGTCAACTTGTCTACCATATCCATAGATCATACATTTTTTCTTCTTTTTTAAATTAATTTTGGATACTTTAAAATATACAATAATATTAAATTTAATTGGTTTAGTAGAGATATGAATGTTTTCAATTTCTTCAATATCTCCTTCACTTCTTTGAGGTTTTAAACGAGCTGCCTCTTCTAAAATATAAAATATTAAATTATTAAGAATTATTATTATTATTATTATTATTATTTAAAATAAAAAATAAAATAAAATAAAAATATTTACCATCTATAGGGATTGGTATTATATCACCTTCACAAACTATCCTTTTAGCATCTTCGAACCACTTTTTCAAACCATTAATACTAGCATTATAAATATTTCTATCAGTAGAATGTGGAGAAGCTATTCTTGATACTGAAATACTTTTAGCAATTGGTGGTGGAAATTGTGATCGCATAATGGGTTGAATGTATAACTCTTCATTATTATTATTAACATTATTATTATTACTATTATTATTGTTATTATTATTATTATTATTGTTATCGTTGTTGTTATTATTATTGCTATTATTATTAAATAATATTGAATTCCCGAGACCAAGATTGAAATAAAGAATTGGACTAATATATACAGGTGGTAAGGGAAGACTAAAAAAAATTCATGAAATAAAAAAATTAAATAAATAAATTCTATTTTAATTATTAAAAATAAATAAATAAATAAATTTCATCATCACCATACTCAACTCAATTAGAGATGGTACATCAACAGCATAAATTCGACACATTCTGGTTTTCTCGATTTTAGATCCTGATATTAAAACCTGTGAGAAGAAATAAGTATATAAGATAAAATATAATAAAAAAAAAATAATTAATATTAATAAATATCTTATAATAAAATATAGTAATAGATTAAAATATATCTTCACACCCAACTTCCACTCTGTAATCCTAATTTTGCTAGTTCTTTTAAACTAACTAGAACTCTTGATTCTGAATCTTCTTTTTCATTTGGAGTTGGTTGTAAAATATTTGTGGGAAAAGGATATGTCAAAGCAATAGGGAAAAAACTATGCTTAAGTGAAGCTGGTAATTCATTATTATTATTATTATTATTATTATTATCATCATCATTTTCATTATTACTATTTTCATCATCATCATTATCATCATCATCATCATCATCATCTGAAGATGAATATGTGACAGATAAATTTCTTTCAAATTCTTCTTCTTCAATTAATTGATCTTGTTCACCTACATCAAGATTTGCCAATAAAAAATTTAAACCATCATCATCTTTAAGATCTAAAATATTTTGATCCAACAATTCATTCTGATCATCTAAATTATTAGATTCCAAATTATATTGATCATCATAATAAATATCATATAATGCATCTTCAGATATATCTGTTATAATGAAATCAGTCTGATCTGTAATAATGCCTTGTAAAACTGGATTACACATTAAAACTTTAAATTCAAAAGATGATATATCATCTTCAGTGGTGGTGGAAGATAAATTTTGTAAAGAATAAGTTTGTCCTTGGCGAATTATGATTGGAGTAGAAGAAGAATTTTGAAAATATTTTGAAATTGTGATTGGATCTTTTTGTAGAACATGAAGTTATTGTTATGGTTGTTGTGAATGTTGTGGTTGTTGTGGTTGTGGTGATGAAGTCAATTGTCAAAAAGACATGATAATAAAAAGAAAAAAAGAAAAAAGAAGAAATTAAAAAATTATTTTAAAGAAATTATCATACGAAAAATTCACTTACCAAAATAACACACCTCTTAATGATAATTCATATGACTCATAAGTCAATGTGCCAAGAATGACTTCATCCAATTCAACAGGATTTGCATTATTAACTTCGACTATAGCTCCATTGTAAAGATTATTTCGTTTGGCAAAATCTTGAGAAACATAACAAACATTATCCTAAAAAAAAAAAAATTGATAATAAAAATAATTGATTGATAAAAATAGTTGATTGATAAAAATAATTATTTAATGAAAATAATTAATTAATAAAATAATTAATTAATTTTTAATTTTAATATATTTATTAAATAATAATATAATAATAATAATACTTACTTGTGGAGATCTTTCATATTTTCCATATGAAATAGTAGTTGAAAAAATGGGGAAATTAGAAGATTTTTCATCATATTTCGGTAAAGGATTTTTTCTACTTGAATAAATTGGAGTTATAGCAACACAAATGGATGATTTTATTATTGTTTGACTTTCATTATCGTTATCTGATTCTCGAATTAATTCTTTCCACAAATTTTCGCTTAACCCAATTCTATAATCATTTTTCAAATTTCTAGTATATAAATAATCATAAAATTGAATTCTTGCGACACGAGGTGTAGAAAATGTAAAAAGTGTAGAAGATGTAGAAGATGTAGAAGTTATAGATGATGTAAAAGATGTAGAAGATCTGGAAGGTGTAAAAGATGTAGTTGTTTCCATGATATAAAAAAAAATAAACAACTCAAAAAAACTAACTTATTAAATTATTTCATTTATAAAATTTTTGTAATACAATCATGAAGTTCCTTGTGCTACACTCTAAATAATTTATATTTCAAAAAAATAAATAAATAAAATGATAACAGATAATAATAATAATTCTCGATAAAATCATTTCCGATAATTAAAAAAAAAATTTTAAAAAAAATGTCTTTTATGGAAACAATTGAAAATGAAATATTAATTAAAATCATCAGTTATTTATTACCTCAAGACCTTTACTCACTTACATTAATTAATAAACGATATCGATCATTATTATGGTCAATTTCACCTACAACTCAAACAATTTGGAGAAATTCTCGAACTCAATATTTAAATTATCCTTCTTTACCTCCGCCTCTTTGGATGTCCGAACAAAAATATATTTGGTTTACTTTATTAGCTAGATCATGTCAATTATGTTCTGCACCTGTTAATGCTCAAAATATTTTTCCAAAGAATTGGGAATTTGGAATTATTTGTTGTAATAAATGTTTTGATCAAAATACTATCAGGTTAATATTATCCTTATTATTTAAAACTGATAAAAAAATAAATTATTTCTATCTTTATTTCTTTATAAATTTTTTTTTTTATTAATTACTTTTTTTTATTAAAACAATTGTTAAAAAAAAATATAAGTATAATTCGAGATGATCAAATATATCCGCCAATCTTATTAACATGTGTTCCTAGTGTTCAACGATGTGTTGATAATGGAAATGCTTTACGTATTTTCTGGAGACAAGATTTGGTAACGGCTGAACAGGAATTCTTGTATTTATATGAAAATGTTCAAAGAAGTTGGGTCGAACAAAAGCAAAAAAGAGTTTTAGAATTAATGGAACAAGTATTCGAATATAAAAGACAAGATCTATTATATTTGATTAATAGAAACCTTTGAATTAATGGTTCTCATATTTATAACTATTACTATTATTACTCATTCATTACTACCACTGCCTATTACTTTAATTGTTTCTATTACTTCTATCTAGCTTTTTATTTTGAACAATGATTATTTTAAAAAAAAAAATTTTAAGAGAAAATTTAATTCATATAAATTATGATTTATTTAAATGTTATCTATTATTAAAGAATTATAAGGGGAAAATCATTTTCAATATTGATTAGTGTGACAAAAATTAGAAAGTGGATTATTAAAATTAGAATTTATACTCTTGTAGATAGATTAGCGCGATCATGTGATGTAGCTGAATATGATATAGATATGCAGGTGACTCATCTATTATTAAATCTGTACTGATTACACGATTACTAGTAATTACCTTGCTTATTTAATTAAAAAGGCTTTCTATAACCTTTATGTTTACAAAAATATGTATATATTTTAATATATTTTGACAAATTTTTAATAGATATAATTCATAGAGAGTAGTATCATTAATCATCTACTCAAAATTAACCAGTTAACTCTTTTATGGTTAAAATTTTTTTATACAAATTTAACCAATTAAAATACATATATTGATTGATTTGATTTGTTTGATTATTCATTTTATTCATTATTACTAGTCAACTTTTTGGACTAATTTTATTTTCCAGAAGGCAATTTACAATACTGGTTGAAATAGAAAATATTAGACACTGTTACTAGTCAACCTGTTGGGCGAAATAAGGTTCCAACAGGAGGTTTACAACTAGTAAACTTAAGTGATTCAAGTTAGATAACTAAATTATTAACCAAAAATAATTAAACTAATTTTAAGTACAAAGGATAAATTATAATTTCAAGGACTAAGTTAAATGTATTCGTTGAATTTAT